GTTTCAATAATTTCGAATTTCTATACAACTTTTCACCCCCCCCCCCCTCAACCCTTACAACCCCTTTCGCAATAAAAAGTAGCCTATGTCCTTTCTTAGGGTCTAGACCATATGTATACAAAATTTGATTCAAATCCGTTCAGTAGTTTTGGCGTGAAAGAGAAACAGATAGACAGAGTTACTTTCGCATTTATAATAGTAAGGATAGATAGTAAGGATTGGTAAGGATGACTAAATGTCATTTAACTGAATTTATCTAAAACACGGTCATCGGACTCGAACAATTCTTTGTTTTGTTTAAAAAAGGTTACGCCGTCTAAATAATCTAACAAAGAAGATCCACAGTAACTGTCTGTCCCAGTAAACAATAGCACAGTATTGTAGAGCGTAAAAAAACGACTGAATTTGTTCTTCTCATTGTTTTATAAACACCATAGGCGGAAAACGGATATGAACCAACAGTATTTAGAGCAAGGTCTACGACACACAAAAAAGATAAAAAATATCGTCAGCTGACTATATTTTACTTATTATACTCATAGTTTCAGTCTGAAACTTTCAGTTTTAAACAGTTTATTCTCGTGCTTTATATTTCGTTTATTTAATAAATTAAATTTTATAATAAGACGATTTCATAACATTACCTGAAAATACTCAGAGCGTCAGAATAAAATCAAACGAATTTCACAAATTAATTTTGTTTTCTAAATTAAATTGCCTGTAAAGAAAATACACTTAAATAGTCTACGCAGGAAGCAAATTTTAAATATAAATTTCTCAATAAAACATTTTATTTCATGAAATTCTTTTCAAATTTCTGATTAGATTTAAGTAAGTATGCATTTATATAAAAAAATACAGTGGCAACGAACAAATGAATCTATCTGCCTTAACCCGGAAGTATTTAATTGTTCTAACAATAAAAACCTTCAGGATCATTACTCGTGATTAGGATAAATAATCCCGCTTACTTTTAACACTCTGAATTTACGTTAAGCAAGAAACTAAATAGGTGTGCCTACGTTAGAAACTCCTTGACCTAAAACTTACAGCGTTATTAATATTAATTACTTGACCGAGAAAAAATATATAAGCGCGTTATTAATTATTATTATAGCTGTGTGATATGGAAAAATGGTGTATTACGCAATACATCCTTAATTAAGCAACGTACGTATTGTTTTGGTTGAAATTTTAAAATCGGTAATAGCAACATTTTTTTTACTATATATGTACGTAATATATTTAAAAACAGTTTAAAATGCCAGATATATAAGTTTACTTATTTGTAATGTATGACCCGACGTGTTAGATCCTTGCAACTTCCAATCACAATATCACCGTTAAATAATAAAATCCCCAGTGAGGTGCAAGCACTCTCAATAAATAAGTTTAAATCGTATGTAAAACAAAATCTGCTTCGAAAGGGTTATTATGACGTTAATCAATGTTTAAATGATAAAAATGCCTAGGGTGTGAAGGACCCCACTATTACAAGGAAACATATGTAGTGCACTATAAGTACATTAAGAATGTAAAATGAAACTTGGCGATAAAAAGGAGTCACAAGGCGAGTTTATTGCCAGTTCTTCTCGTTCGCTCCACACCCTTGATTTAAGAACTGGCAATATACTGATAATAATAACGTAGTTAGATTTTTCAGTTGTGCAACGTTCATAAGTGTACTTAGGTTACCTACATGAATAAATTATATCTAAAACATGAAAATCTTAATAATATGAGCATACTGAAAAGTGTTTAATTACTTTCGCCAGTTTCGCTGCTTTCTCATTCATCGGCTTCCTGAAATAATTTGCAACCGCGGATTTCCTATGATGCGGGCATAATTGTAATTATCGCGGATCAATACTTAATTAGAACATGTTAAGGTAAATACACACGATTTTTTCCTACTTACATACAAAAATCCACTCAATGTCAATCATTTTAAATTCTTGAATATCGGAGGCCAAAACAGGCGACAGCGCATCTTGTTTAGATGCTGGCTGGGGTATTACACCTACCAATGAAGTGTGAACCCTACGCTCGTCTGTCCTCCTCTATTATTAAAAAAACCCAATGACACATCAGCTCTGTTTCTTATTTTCGCGTTAAATAATTTAATTTACGTGAGTAGGGCACAGGGGAAAACGATTTCTGTCTGAATTTTACTAATATTTAAAATATATATAATTTTATCAACAATCTAGAATACCACTTTACACACTATATATATATAATAGGTCTCCCCCCGTGACACGCTGCCCAATAAAAATATTCAAAAAATATTGGTTTTAAAGTTAAAGTTATTTAAATAACTTATAGCTATGTCAGTTTTAAATCTTTCACTGGGTTTGTATGTAATATCAATTAATAAAAAAACATAAAAGTTTTTTATATATTTCTTATTTTAGTCTGTTTTTTATATAAAATATCCCCATGTTAACAGGGATATTTGATTTTGTAGTTGTAATTGATAGTGAAATTTTGTAGAAATTGAAGGTGATACAATTTATCTTAATTCCTCAGTATGTTAGCCTCGTCTTGATAAGACAGTGAAGCATTAAGATAAGAACAAAAGCCTTTCTTTGTTACAATTACAATTTCGAAACTGATGACTGTGTTGTGTTCCTGATTCTTATCACATTGTAGGAAGTTCACATAAAGAGGTTCTTGTTGCTTCTCTTCCAAGGATAGCTTTATTGTAATTTGAATTTTCTTCAGAGGTCCTTTACACAGATATAAGTTTATTGACTTTACAAGAAATGATGTGTGGTAACTGTACTTTGTTGTCCATTAATCAAAGTCTATTGTTTTAAACATTTTAAATTAAAAGCTAAGTAATTCAATGCTTATGCTAATCAACAAACATTGGTAGTTTGTGAAACAAAGACAATATTTCTCCAAAGATTGGTACAATATTTACTAATGAGTACTTTATTTTACCACATAATTTTATGACATGTGCGGACCGACAAGCATGTGAATATCAAACTCACCATTAGTTATAAGCTACAGATTGCATTTAAATTAACTAGCCTGCCAAATAATGTAATAAAAGTTCTTTGTTATGCAATTAATAATGTTAGTGCTGTAAATATGCTTAACTATCATAAATCAAGAAAATATCTTGATTGAAGAGCCAGTTTAATGTGGAAATATTTATGCTAGAGAATATAATTTATTGCCCTATTCACTACAATAAACTACTTCCTTACATCAATAATAGACCATTTCTTATTGAAGTTAACAAAGTTATTGACAATATTAACCAGATTAAGGAAGAGTTAAAATTCATATAGGATTGAAAAACACTATTCTTTAAAAAATATTTTGAGTTTTTGTTGTCTGCTATTTGTTTTTTACAAAAATTACTTTATTTTTGTAACTGCATCATTGTCTACAATAAATATGCTTAAAAATTCCCACTACAATAGTAATAGTATTTACAACCTACAAGGCTCTTTGTTCAAGAATATTTGTCAAGTAAATCTAGTCTATAATTGAATTTTGTTTAAAGAATATTTTATACATTCTAAAGTTCAAGAATTCTCTATCAAGAACCTATCTTAGCAAAATATTATTATATTTTTATCATTTTATATCTATCTTACAAAATGTATCAAAATTTGTATTTTTTTTTAATATTCTTTCACAAAGCAAGCTTAGGTGGAAAATGTAATATTTTAAATTATTCGTCGTTTTTATTCTTTGAAAATTAATAAGGAAATTTAAAATGTTGTCGATTTTTTTGCTGTTCACATAAAGTAATTACAAATACAATGTAAAATATTCATTGTTTACATAACAGTGATCACAAACAAGCGGAATAAAATGTATCAATGTTTTAGTTTGTACCAGTAACCACGTCTACAAAAATATATAAACTGTTGTCCAACAATCCACGCCTCGAGGACAGAACGAAAAAAAACAAACAAAGTGACATGTTAAAATCCATAACTTACCTTATCTCCTGGAATATTTTTTGACGACATGGTGTTCAACTTATTCTAATTCTGTGATCCGATGCCGTCTGGAGGATATATCCAGAGAAAGGAGCTCAACGTTGCTGCGGCAGATCAGCATACGACACAAAACACTTCACTTTATCAATCACTCGGCCATCATCACTGATCGGAGGGTGCATCAGAGCCACAAACACAATAAATGAGCCATAATTTGGCTTCGTAATCAACACAATTGCCCATTGATATTCATCGGTACAGGTAATTTTTCATCACACAACACAAACACAGCGGCAGAAGCTGACTTGATAAAGCTTGACGGAAAATGGCGTTTGGCGAGAGGGATGGTAATTCCCCTCCGCCCCCGCTGCGTGGTGCCTCCGCGCATGCTACGCTAGAATTTCACTAAGTTTGACGAAGTTCTTATATCAACCACAAGATGCCATGAATGTCATTCAAGTAGTTTTAGTTGGTATCATTTAACACAAGATGGCACATTAGTAAATAATTTTTATATTTGATAATTGGAAACACTATTTGTGCATAATCTGTAGGCCTGCAGGAACATAATTAAACACTTTTTGTTGTAAAATGTTGTTTATGATTATAGAGACTATGGGGGATACCCCCTTGGAGCTCTACTAGCTCCTGATATTCGACAGAGTAAAATATTACGCAGCTCTATTTTAGATTTGGTAAAAATAGGTAGTTCTTACAAGCTTACACAAAGAGTTGTTAATTTACAAGAACACATTACGAATAAAATTTCATAAGAAATATGTAATAATAGTTTATTATAAAAACAGTACTTATTATTAAAAATAATACTGATTTACTAGATAATGTAATGCTGTTTATGTCTGTCACATGAAACTTATTTTACATAACTTTTTAACGTTATATAGTTTTTTATGTTATTAAAAATTGCTTATACATTCTAGCAACACCATTTTATACGTTACTGCGCTTGCCGCCGTTTCGCTGTCATCCCGCAGCCGAGCGCCGGCTAGTTCTTATATCGCAGCAATTCGCAAAATGGCGGATGGCGGCGTGGACATAGATCTTTATGCTGATGATATTGAATCTGATTTTAATCGTCAGGTAAGACTTATATCTCTTTAACTTACTATATTTAAGTTTTCCTTTTTTAAACGTACGGCTCTTGTCAAATAATAGATGTGAGTTTGTTATATCAATAGGACGCCATTTGCTTTTCAGGACGAGTTTGGGGGTGACAATGTAGATTTGTATGACGACGTTATAGCTGCACCACCAGTGAAGACAGAAGATGGGGATGGGCCACAAAATTCAACTTCGCAACACCCTCCGGAGGAGACGAACGGGAATGCTCCGTATCATAATAACTCCATGGGCCACGGGCACCACAGCCGTCGCTTCCAACTTTACGTCGGCAACCTAACTTGGGTTCGTACTTAAATTTAATTCACTAGTCTTAATGTAAATATAGACATTCACGTTGTGCTATTTATTTCATAGTTGGGACTGCCAATTTGTTTACGTCGATGATCTTGATTATCGATCCTAATACCAAAGGTAACGCTAAGAAGCAATTGCAAGCATGGTATCGAAATAATTATTACTGAAACTACGGTCTTATTTAATACTACTTTGAATTCCACAATTAGTGGTTACAAGTATGGAGCAAAATACATAAAATATGCTACAAAATAATAGGTTTCATATTTTCAATAACACAGCACATACATTTTATTATGTTAGAGCTATTTCCTTGCGGTACCGTGGTCTGGTTATTTGTTTAACTAACTAGCTTTCAAATAAAATAATAGTCTGAGGATTTATTCGATATTAAAAATTGCTACTACTAAATTTGATTGGTGGTTAGTTATCATTTGTTCTATACATTATATTGTCTCGTTTGAATATCCTAGTAGCATTTTGTACACATCTAAATGATGTTACATCAGTGTGTCTATTTAGGGTTACATATTTTTAATTTAAACACACTACATGGTATGGTAAGTGGCAGTCCCAACTTCTACCATTTGAAAAATGTGAATTTTTTTGCCAGAGTTATTGTTCGATACTGGTAACCAACAATTACTTGTAGTCATAAGAATAGATGTGTAAAAATTTGTTTATTATAGTGAATATCAATATGTGACCTTACGGTTGTAATTATTGTGTCTAGTGGACTATTCTATCCTCTGTCTACAACAATTTGTTGTTTAAACATGTAGAAAGAGGTTGTTTTAGTTCTTTAACATTACATTTTTATGCATAACTTAAACTTAAATTAAGCAATTTGAAATGATTTCAACCTCAATTTCCTTCTTCTTATTCTGTATTGCAATAGCTTTCATGTATAGATCACATTGCAAGATATATTCGTATTTGGTGTAACTAACAACATATGGAACATTGTCAATTAATAGTTTTTTAAACTTGTCAACTATATTTTATGTGGATTTGTGATTAAAGTACATAGCATTATTTTTTGTCCTATTGTATTTACAATTCACTACTTATTGCGCCTTCTTTAAATTATGTTAAAGATTTTAATCCAAAAGGTCTGTTGGTTACCAGAGTTCATAGTTTTCATTTGGTTTATTATTATTATTATTATTTGTGTTAAGTGTGACAATTCACTTACACAAATTATTGTTCAGTTATTTTAATTATGGTTGATATAGCATTATAAGATGGACGGATCCTTCTCCCAGTATGAGTACATTGGTGTTGTTTTTGTTGTGCTTGCCTTTATATAGCAAATGTCTTAAGAAATAATGCTCAATTCTGTACAATTCATTAGTAGAAGGTAAGATGTAAATCTGAGGGTTTAATTTATCTTTTATGTTGCAAGACAACAACTTTCATATTATAAATAATATTTTGTTCAGTAAAAGTGCTGGGCATCAAAGTTTGGATTGCATAACGTGATACCATCTATTTGTTTCTTATAGTGCTGTATCAATTATTAAGAGGAGCAGGTAACAATTTCTTAAGATATTCAATAAAATAATGGTTCTTACTAATTCAACATCCCAGTTTGTAAAAATATAACTGCTGTAAATTGTCTGTTAAAAAAACTCTAATATTAAAAAAAAAATTAATACATTTGTTATGTGCTCCTTTCTGGGTTCTTTTATCTAGTCTTACGAGCTGTGATACCGTGCCTAGGAGGTTTCAATGATACTTATTATAAATGTGATTAATGGCAAAATGTTAAGATTTTGCACAGCTGCTAAACTACCGGCATGCTTTCTATTTTGTCATAATACTTTCTGGAGTTAGTCTAATTTAAGAGTTTTATATTGAATTTACGCTAATTAGGATTCACATTTTTTTATGAACAGTATATTGATGCAGTAAAAATAAATTGCTAAAGAAATATTTTTAAAGCTCTCAAGAGTTCTTAACACAATAGATCTAGAGTACGTATTATAGAAAAGATAGTATTTTTATGTACACTCTTATGTATAGTATATGATTGTCAATGACATTACAATGCAAATATTGTACGAATTTGTGCTTTATACTGCTTTTTAAAATTACGTTAATTTTATTGTTTCTTTCGTCTCTATTCTTGTATAGTTTTAGCTTTAAAGTGTAGTCCGGTATGTTTTAAAAGGTAAATATTTCTTTAGCAAGCCTTAATGTAACTAAACAGTATATATTTGCATGTATAGCACGGTTGCGAGATCTTCAAAATATTGTAGTGATCTCACTACTTGTCCATCTCGTGGAAAGCATATGATTAAGTATCTTGCTGTCACACTCACACTCAAACTATAGTCATTCAATGTACTGTACAGGAACCACATGTGAGTGAGATGATATGCTTTAAAAACAATTACAAATACATATAAAAAAATACAAATCATATTCTGTGATAATAATAAATGAAAGTAGTATAAGATGTAAAGATGATGAATGCATGTTTGATTGAGAAGTATGATTGCATAACATATATATATACCTATACTTTATATTTATTTTCTGTAAAGTAATTTAGTGTATTTAGTACTGAAGCAAAAAAAAACGTAACAGTGAAATATGCGGATAACATACTGTAATATTCATTTACAATTTGCTGTCTTTTTTGAAGGTTGTGAATAGTATGTCTTAATGTCGTATTATTTTGTTTAAGGTTTTAGTTTTGTTTTATTTTAAAGATGATATTTACAATAATGCAATGATTAGAGCAATAATGCTAATTTATCACAAAATATGTAACAAACAAAGATTACAACCTTCACAAATTTAGTCAAATACTCAATCGAGAGGAATCTTCTGCGATTTGCTTGCACTTAACTGTTTTCTTTTATCAGGTGTCTTCAAGGTAAGATTTTGAGCTTTGTTTTTGTAGTGTACTTTTATTAAAACTTTGATTTATGAAGTGTTCACCGAGGGCATCGTGTAAGTTACGTTTGTGTTAAAATAATTTCAATTATCACGTCACAATAAAGGATGACTGTACGTTTATATTAAAAACAGCCTTAATCCTGTTTCACGTCGTTCAGTTACATATTGTTTTATTGGCGATTTTTAAAATGTATGAAATAATAAATTTGTTAACATAAAAATATATTTGTAACGGGTTTTCTAATAATTAAATGGTTTTCTGTATCACACCTACTACAACCATGTATTTGATGAAAACAATGTCCGTTTAGATTAAAGGATGTTCACCTAACACCACTTCTTGCGTTGGTATATTTAAAAAAATTCTTATCGAAGTTATTCACAATTGACATAATAGTAATTGATGTTAAATTTAATAATTGTACTTCAAAGCATCTTTAAAGTTGTCTCAAAGGATTTAAAAAAAATCCACCTTTACTTCGCAGCTGTCTGTAACATTATTTTCGTGGGGATGACAATAAATGTGATAAAGACAATAAAATCATAATATCAAAGAAAAACTGTTTCTTTTCTCCCGAAGCCTCCTTTAACAAGACGAGTAAAACGTTGCAAAGTAAGCGAGTATGAAAGGAATGAGAACGATGAATGATTAATACGACAGTAGGTAAATGGATAAACTAATACGTCACATTTATCATCGGTTGGAAAAATGATTAGGTTATGAAATTTTTGCCAGAGTAAATACAGGAAATCTCAAATGAGGTATGTCAAAGCACCGCGCCTAACACAAGTATGTTTTCTCGTGTGTATTTGTCGTGACGCGATTGCATATTCCTGAGGTTTCGCTACCGATTTTGCAGTGGGCCACAGACCAAGATATTGCTAACGCCGTCGCAGATGTTGGCGTGACGGATTTTCAAGACGTGAAATTCTTCGAGAACAGGGCAAATGGACAGTCCAAGGGATTTTGCGTTATATCCCTGGGCTCGGACCAAGCCATCAGGATGGTCATGGACCGGTTGCCCAAGAAGGAGATCCACGGACAACATCCTGTTGTCACGCTGCCCACCAAGCAGGTAACGTAGATCACTTTTTCCTAAAGCTAGAAAGTAGTTATTCATATATTTTAATCATGTAAGGAACAAAACTTTACTTCGTTATGGCTAAAATAGTCAGCTGATAGTGTGGACCCGGCATTCTATCGGTGTCTCCAATAGAAAAGAGATAATAATTATTATATTATGTTTATTAGAAACAGATTTTTATAAGACTACCAGATATTTCGACAAAGTTGTTATCAAGATAAACTGAATCAATTGCAAATTTTGATCAAGCCCTTAAACCACTTTCACATTTTTTACTTAAATTACTGACATGGATGAAATTAAGGAGTGAGATGAACATAAACTTTTGTTTTGATTCGATTTATATGTGCAATCCGATCATCGTAAAGGTAGCACAGGTAGTAATGAAGACTTAAAAATAGTGTAATACTTTTACAGGCTCTTAATCAATTCGAGAGTCAATCAAAGACACGGTCTACACCACCTGGACCCAATCCTGGTATGAGAGGACCGCCTGGACATCCCGGAGGGCCACCTCCACATCCTGGAGGTAAACATTTTCTCCTGATTTAGCCGCTAGTAATATTCTCTAAGAATGGCTATAATATTATTATCACTTGAAAATGATTATATTCAAAACATAAAATATAGTTCAGTTTAAATTTATATTATGATGAATTTTACATAACTGGAAATGATATATTATAAGCAAGTTATATTATTTTTATAAATACCCTTTACTTCCTTGCAAGGTAACAAAAAATAACATCAGATGGCATAGCACAATGTCTTAAAGAGATTGAATTTATAGAAATAGCAATTTAATTATTATGATACTAAATACTGATTGGCTCTCCCATATCTTTTTTTTACTATAATAAAAATATGCATTGGTTATTTTACAAGCAACTCAAAAGAATATTTTTTATTACCAGAATTCTTTGGTGGCGGACCCAATGGTCCCGGGCCTAATGGACCTAGAATGATGATGCCCGGTCCTGGCCCTCATCATCAGATGCGTGGTCCTCCGCCGGGACCACACGGACACGGTCCTCCGCCGCATCACATGCCCCAACATCAGGGGCCTCCGCCTCATCACATGCCCCCGCATCAGGGACCGCCACCCCACCAGGGGCCCCCGCAACATAGACCACCTATGCCTTATAATGATGTGAGTACATTTAAACGATCTTGGGGGGTTTTTTAACAGTTCTTGAGTTAAGTTGTGATTTAAATAAAACATTTAACGTTTGAAACGCGAATAATGGATTATTTGGATGATTTTAGTTTGGCCCGATGCCATTTCGTTTTTAACGGGGGGGACAAATCATTGAATTAACTTTGTTTATTAAATTATACTCGCTAAAAAACTAAGTTTAATTTCTTTTTTTCTTACAAATCATGAACTAATTTGGTTTATCATATCTTTGGTATTTTATAATAGTCATATCTGCTATACAGTGTGGTAAGAATGTTTCTTGAGCGTTGCTCTTATAAGGCAATATTTTGAATACATAATGTTTAAATAGATGCAGCGGCAAGGCGGCCGAGGAGGAGAATGGGGTGCTCGGGGACCCCATATGCAGCCGGCACCGGGACCTCAGTATGGACCTCCACAGCATCAGATCCCACATCAAATGCCCCCACCACATGCAGTATGTTAAAGACCTACTCGAGTCGTAATTTTCAATTTAATGTCGATTGTTAATTAATATGTACATCTAATTATTTAGTTAGCAAACTTTAACGACACAAATTCGACTGAAAGGTTGAAGCAGTTTCAGATCGGGAAAGGTTGTTTTAGGAGAAATATTATAATTTGTAATAATAGTCTTTGTAATGGGTTAGTCTTGTGAAATTGAAGCACAATCTTTTTTTTTCCAGCCACCAGGTCAAGGTCTACCACCACCTCATCACCAATTGCCACCGCATCAACAGGGCCCACCACGTGGGCCGGCGCCCTTGCCACAGCATCCTGGTAACATTTCATTATTACACAAACAGAATAAGTTAATATTGATCTATGTATAGTTAGTTATAGATCAGTACCTAACACTATTAAAGAAAGTTATTATTTATTAAAGAATAATAATGTTACATAGTAAACATTTCTATTTATTTAACACTCCTTTTGGTAATTACTGAGGGCCTGTACTATTCTGAATTTCACCAAAAAAACTTCACAGGTGTCGGCGTTGGTGTAGGTGGACCCGCGCCCCATGTGAATCCAGCATTCTTCAATCAGCAGCCGCCTGTGCAAAATGCTCCACCAGTACAGCCAGGACCTGGCCCTCAATCTGGACCTCCAGGTATCAATCATCTATCTATCTTAAGGTTATTCCTAGAGAAAGTATTGTTTGTAGGGTTCGATTTTGTACTTAATAAATCTAAGTTTATCTTTAATTTGTATAGGTCCTGCACCTTATGGTCATCCTCCACACAGCGCACCACCACCTACTCAGGGCCCTCCACCTGGTGTTAGAGCCCCCTATGGAAGACCACCGCAGGTAATACACTATTAATTTACATTTTATAAAGACTAGAAACAGTTAAAATATAAGTATTTTTTTAAAGAATGTAGGAAGTATTTTGTTTTACACAACTTTTTTAAGTACTTATTTGTCTTGTAGCCTTGAGTTAGTTCCAATAATATATTTTTCTCAGGCGTATCCTGCGGGTGAGGCTCGGCCAGGCCACCCAGCACCGCTAGGCCACGTGCCGCCCCACGCTCCGACTCATGTCCCCCCGCACGCTTCCCACCCGCCACACCCGGTCATCAGCGAAGCGGAGTTTGAGGAAGTGATGAGTAGAAACCGCACGGTCTCATCAAGTGCCATCGCGCGCGCTGTCAGCGATGCGGCTGCCGGTGAATACGCGTCTGCTATTGAAACGCTCGTTACCGCCATCTCGCTCATCAAACAGAGCAAGGTGAGATCTTGTTTTATTTTATTGTCATAACTGAATAAGCAGTATCATAATATCAATGGTCTAATGTCTCCTGAATGCATTTTGTGACAAGTGTAAAACATGGCACTTTTATGTGACCCCTTATTGGCTTTTGATATATTTTAATGCTTTTTTAGTAATATAAGACATAAGTCAAATTGTTTTTTAACAATGTAACACTCTCCTTAGATTTAAGAATCCATCGATGGTCTGATTAATAAACTATAATTATTATTCCAAATGTGCGAACGAATATTTAAAGCATCCCTAAAAAGCGGTGAAATGTTATTACTGTGGTATTTAACAATGTCATTTTGTTACACTAATGAGCAAGCAATAACTGATAGCAAAGTAGTACAAAACATGTTTATATATTTTTTTATAAACGTTTCATATATTAAAATATTATATTGAATTATAGGTTGCCCACGACGATCGCTGCAAGATCCTAATATCATCGTTACAAGATACCCTCCACGGGGTGGAGACCAAGTCATACGGCGGGGAGCGACGTCGCTCTCGTTCCCGCGAGCGTGACAGTAGGGCGCACCATCGCACACCGCGCAGACGCGAACGCTCCGCTAGCCGCTACAGGGACAGATCGCGTGACAGAGATGACCGCGACCGGTGAGTGAGAGAAATAGATTTACCCAATCAGAGCAGGATGCAAAATAAGTCCTGTGTCTGGCTGTTACCACATTGTACTAATAAGGATTCGCTATACAATAGTGACTGAAATTACAGTTTCTTATTTAAAATATTAACTTAGACTAAAGGATGGTTCTCAAAGCAGTGATCTTTACAGGTATAGGGAAAGGTCGAGGGACCGTGAACGCGACCGCGACGCGTAAGTGTCAATTTTTACAATGCAAAGTAGTAATTTTATAAACGGTGCGATTTCACTTCTACTGGCCACAAACTAACGGGCTATATGCATGAAGCTTTTTAAATGTATTTTGACCTGCATTACAATTTGGTTTGAGTTCAATCCTTGAAGCGTTATTATTTCTGTTCGTAAGTAATAAGTATGAATCAATAATTAACAGATGGTTCATAGTGTTGATAAAAATGTGTTTTTTCCTTCAGATACTACAGGGACTATCGTGAACGCGAACGCGATAGGTCCAGGTCCAGGGAACGAGAACGTGCTGACCACTACAACAGAGGCCATAGTCGGGAAGAAAGGTACAAGTTAAACAAAAAATGAAACTGGTTTTAACTACGTATTCCCGCAAGATACCCAACATAAGGACAATCTAAGTGGCTTTTCAGTGAATAACAATTTATTGTGTATGTAAGATGGGTGAAATGGTTAGCAGATAATGTGGACTGATGAATCCGGCATTCTATCGGTATATCCAGTAGAAAATAATAATTATAACAAACTCTTGTGATTGAAATTCTTAAAGTGTGAGTGTTTCACCTACATACTTACATTTGTATTCCACTTTGTTAATTGCCCAGGCCCCGGAAGTCACCCGTAGAAGCAGTGGCTGAACCCAGCGCAGGTGACGCCAGTGCAAAGAGCAGATCAGCCGCCGCACCCTACTACGAAGAGAGGTACCGCGAGCGACGCGACCGCGACCCACCACCCACTGACCGTGACCGTGACCGCGACCGCGAACACAGGCGCGACGCTAGGCACTAGTGACTAGACTTTCCATTTCATTCTTTTACAAAGATCAATTGCAACTGTGTTTATTTTCTTTGCATGTTACAGACAATATTATTAATTCGGTGACCCGACATCGTAACCAGAGTCGGACCAAAACTCAGTAGGTATATATTTCTATATTCTATTCTATTTCTATATAATTATAAAACACTTGCATGTACACATAATATTGTTTTTGGTCTATCAAAGATAGTGCGTAAATGTTAATTTGTAACATGAATTTTAAATATGAATATAGCACAGTGACATTAGATTCGTAGGTTTTATTATGTTTTCTCGTTAAAGAGGTTGGTCTGACTCTGATTAAGTTTAATGCTATATTGAACTTGCGCAAGAGTCGTGGCTTACGCCATTTGATTTATAATCCTATTTATAATGAGATTTTTTCAATTTATAAATTGTATCTTAATTAGACTGTTACGTACGCTGCTGGTACGTCTCAATCTAACCAAAGATTATTTTAATCTTAACAGAATATTGTTTCGTAGCGACATTCCAACGAATCTAATATAATCTACGTGACATGACCGTTCAATTGATGCGATTTACATTTTATAAAACTTATTTATAAATTCTAATGAATACATTGTGTATGAGTTATTTAGAAGTATTAAGATTTAATGGTGTAAGATAGATGTTTGTATGGATTCGTTCTGTACTTAGTTCGTAATTTACTAAATAAATTGATAATGTCATAAGTACTGAGTTTCATTTGCAATAGTTAACTAGTCATATGTATGTACACTATTTCTAGGATATACTTCCTATAAAAAAATAAATTGAAAAAAATTTCGACTGGCGAACAGGCATCTTCAGCGTTCCGTGACTGCAAAAACATCTAAAAATATTAAAATTTTCAAAGGCCTTATCTTCCTTTTTAAACACTGTCTTTCTCTGTTAAAAACAAAGTATTTTTACTTTTAGATTTCCGTCAAAAGAATTTAGCAATTTGCCTATCCTTCGTCTTTGCAAAAGGGATCGGATTATGAAGGCTAACTCCGTTTTGTTCAACAGAGTTCTGTAGAAACTTGAATGGCAATGAAGGTAAGATTAAACATAATTTGAATGAATCAACACAAGAGGCGTTGAATTTATACACTTAAGGAAATAATGCTATTTGTACTTTTATATTAGTAATAAATTACAGCAAGCGTCCATTCGAGTCCTGCCGCAACAATAGACTGTGAAACTTTGATAAATACTAAGCTATGACAAAGACAGCTTGAGAGGTTCGATATTAATGATAGGTAAATAGTTTTAGAGAAATTCATCTCTCAATAAGTAATGTCAAAACATAAATAAATTTAAAAGGTCTTTCATCTGAAAATTGTATTGTTTTGAATTTGTACTCAATATTCTCTCAAAGAATATCACAGTTTGTGACGTATTTAATTTCCTGCCAGTCCGAGCAGTGTCAACGTGAATCGCGAGGTGTCGCTTGCATTCATTTGAGACGTCCATTTCCGATTAATGGAAAAGGCAATCTTCATTTTATTTTTAAAGGCTTTAATAATAATAAATCTCTTTATTTGGTTTTATTGGATTTTATATATTAGCACAATGCTAGAAATAAATAAATGTATTTTCAATAAAATAATACAAAAAGATTTAATTTGAAACAAAGTGATTCCAAAAGGGTCTTGCGTCTGCATATGTTGCAGCACAGTTATGTTACAACACAAATTTTCAGCAAAGCCCTTGTTCGTCTGTCAGACAGCGCTATCTAATCTACAAATGTACCTATAGAAAACAAATATGTCGTTTCTAAAAGCAACTTATAATTTTCATGATTTGTAAGTCAAGAAGATGTGGCTATCAAATGGCTGGTAGAAATATCTAAACAACGCCCAGGAGGCCGTGAAAGAAAAGCATCACAGAAGGGAATACTCTACATTTTAATAGCGTTACGAAATCCGTGTTTGAATTTCCGAATGTCCAAAACCAAAATAGGTCAATATGGGATTTTATTAATATGTTTTATGACTGGATATTATTAGATTTGATCCTTTATTATTAAAAAAATATATAACCTAGTGTCGTTCATAAATGGTTCTGTCCAAGATGTCTAAGCACGATTGACTTGAAATGGATAAGCCCACGCTATCTATAATAGCTCCCATCTACCGCCGCATTCAACTCTCGCACGTGTGAAAAGAAACGTGATAGAAACCAAAGCACGTGCCTAGTTCGCGTGATTTGTCATTGAAAATTATTACCGTTAATTGATAAACGTCTAGCTAGCTATGTATATGTGCGATTCCCAATATATAGGTCGTGAAGCGAAATCACTTTTGTATCTGTTTCTTTGATTTTGTTCAAAAGCAGTTGCTTAGATTTGTAAAAGACATAGCTAAGTCCAAATTGCTTTCCTGCGAGTCGAACTCACACCTCTTGCGTTGAGGAAGAACTAAAGAGATAATCATTACGATCAAAAAGTGAAATATCGACTTTGTAGAACGTAAGAATTCATAAGATATTTGTACACGACAAAGAAATGAAAAAGCTAGAAATTAGAACAGGTAGGTAGGTACTCTCAAATTAACTTGGATTTAAATCTTCACGACTTTTCAAATGTCGGTGAAAAATTAAAATGGATGGTGGTTAGTGACCCGGACGGAATGTTCGATATACCAATAAGATTCAAAATTATTATAAATTGATTAGTTACAAGCCTTTGTTATTAGCCATTTCTTGCTACCGTTAGACGAGCCTGTCAAACAAGTGATTTGCACAACCTACTCAAAATTATGCTTAAAGTTTTTACATAAAATGTGTTGTTTAGTAATTAGTCTAACCAAATATAATTGTTAACTGTCAAGGGACGAAAATCTGCAACTTTTATGTAAAAGCGTTAGGCCATTATTATTCTCTTGTTATTCAGTTATTTTCCTTTAACAGACATTAAAGCTATTAACGACACAATACGTTTTCATGTAATAAATTGCCTGTAGTGAAGTTTCCACCCGAATTTGGGAGTCGTGGATCGCTACTCGATAGAACTAACTTTTACTGTTATTGATGCTCCCTGTTAGCCACAGAGTAGTTTAAACAGCTACAATAGTTTTAATAAAGCACTCTAAACAAGTTAAACCAATATATATATAGTATATAATTGAGCTAAAGTACTTTGGTGTTTGCTTGAATTTGGTTAATAGAGTTTGAATTTTTTTATTTAAGATCCGCCTCTGTAGCTAAATGGTTGCCTAGCACTAAGCGTTATGCCAAAGGGGTCCTGGGTTCGAATCAAAGAGAAAATAATAGATTGTTTCGATCGAGCAAGACATAGAAGTCTGATTAAGTACTGGCTTGCAAAATAGACGTTGAATGCACATTTTTTAAGTATCGTGTTTGATTCTACAAAGAAATAAAAAATATTAAATTATTTTTACCATTAACAAAGGTGTTTTGCTCCATTTTAAACCGAGTTTGTCCTGTGGCATGTTAGAACAATAAAAGGTTTGGAACGATCCCAAATAAATACTTTAACAAAAGGTCACCGAGCCGTGAACGAGCTGTCTACATTAAGTACGATAGTTAAACGCCATCAAAAGTGACTTGTCAATCAGATAAATTCACTCTGGAATTGTTATTAATAGTAGGGCTTGAAAATTTTACTAAAGCATTTTTCGACATAAAACTGAAGAATTTGTTTGTTTGAACGCGTAAGTAAAAAATGTTTTTGTATTAGATCAATTATTGAGAAAGGCCATAAAACAGAGTTGAAACTAATAGGGAGAACAAGCGGGAAATGTGGAAAAAACGGGAAATTTATTTATTCTTGTGGGTTTCCTTTGCGAAAACGCTTCAAAGTACACAAGTATAGTAGTAAAAAATATGTATGAAAGAATGATTTCTCTTTAAACAATCTAAAAAGTCCGCGACAGTATCTATGTTGTGAAATTAAGTTGCGAGAACGACGTCGTGGGTAAGAGACTGACCGGAAGAGACTAGCCGCCCACGACACAGGGAGTCCTAGTGTGGGGGATAGTACAGCAGACGTAAGTAAACAATATTTTTTTAAAAATAATCATTTTGTATTTGTACTTTTTATTTTGGGCATGGATATAGTATTCACGGCATTGTCATCTGTCAAAGATGGTTCCGTGACCCGGACGACGATGCAATATTCATAACATCTATTTAACATCCAGTTTTCCCAAACGAAGTGTTGTTAACATAAGTATTTTTGTAGTTTACCGATGTACATATATAATACTTACAACGGGTTAAAACGCGATTTATAATATTATTAACATACGATCTGACGTTTCGGATGCACGCTGTAACGGGACCACGGCTGCTGCAAGATTTTCCAGACATCTAACATGTTTAAAAAAATGCTTTTTACAAATATCATATGCCTGGAAGGAATCGAATCTACTCACTGTAAATACCGTAAATATCGTACCTCTTGTACGATCCTTGTAATGCGGATTTTTTGCCTTTCGTGATAGGTTTTATTTTCAATGATAGTTACGAGTACAACAGATCCAAAAGTGCCTCATGTCTGGTAACGGATGTGTGATTCTGCACCGCATTAGGCCGCTTCCTGTGCTTATCCCTTGGTTTTACGAGTGGCATAGTGACTGCTCTTAGAGGGCCAATTGAATTTATCATGGAGACGTTGTAATTTTTCGACAATTCCAGTCCATCAGAATCCATCAACTCAGAAAAATTGCGAGTTGATAAAGAATTCAAATCGGTGGGGAACGACCCATTAAATATTATCAGATTTACCATTATCAGACCAAGCAACCCGTACGTATAAAATTCAAATATGAACTCAATTTTATAACTATATCGTTCTTATTTTCAAACAATCTAAAATGATATAATTTTTAATCTAAATAAATTAGTTAATTTAACTTAGAATTTTATTGATCCATTCTCAATCTATCAATATTCGTTATTCCGTGTATAATTAATAATAGATATTTTCTACTAAAAATTGTTGCTTGTAAATTGAACTGAAGGACCAATACACAAGCGAACTTTATTTTCTATTAAGAATCCAATTTTATGGTATTGTGAATTTGAAATAAATATGTCGTTCAATTCTTATTTGTATTTACGCTCACACGGAATGTTAAAACTATTAAAGTTTTCGCTTTTACTATTAAATTCTTTGAATATAGATGCATTTAGACGTATAGTTGGTGGACGTGATGCGGAACTCGGGGAGTTCCCTTATGTTGGCAGATGGGCAAAGGTCCATGTTGAAAATAATCAAAAAACATTCGCTCAGCATTGCACGTGCAGTTTCTTGTCTCCTACGTGGGCTATATCAGCAGCGCACTGCATCGACGAAGAAGCACCCGGAGATAGCGTAATTATGTACGGATACATTGTACGCGGTCAGAAACAAAACTATACGGAGATCGTTCAGATGTATAAGCACCCAACTTATGTAATGTCAGAAACGTGCGATTTGGCGAGAAACGACATTGGCCTATTAAGAACACATCACGTTGAATTGTCCGTTTATGGAGTTATCAGTGCTGTGGATTACACGACAATGACCGGTCACGAAGTCTTCTTACCAGGGTATGGAAACACGAACGGGACGGATGTAGTAAATGACGCTACAACTGTGAGTAAACCTCTCCAAGTGTTCAAAGGAATGATAGGCCAGTGTAATGAACACGATGCACCTTTAACTTCAGTGATATGTGTGGTGGCGTCATGTAACCATGTATCATTGATTTGCGGGGGTGACTCTGGTGGACCGGTGATACACGCTTCAGGAATTGTTGGTGTAAATTCGATGTGTATGAATGGTTGTGATACTTATCGTGATTATAAAAATATACACAGACATAACCTAGCTAAAGGGTCTTCTAGCATAGTCCAAGCGGCCAGTCCCGTAGTTGATTGGGTCTCGAATATTATTGGGAGTAATGCCTGAAACGATATTTTACGAGAATATGTAATTGCGAAAACAAACACACAACAAAAATCCATAATTATGCTAGTAGTAAAACTATTATGACCACAGTAAACATTGATAAAAACTAAATGAGAATAATTAGAAAAATTAATGTAGTCAGCCAGGCTATCCAGTTATTTTATCAAATTTCTAAGTCGAGGGAGTGAGCAAACATTAACAAAAAAAATTGTTATACGTTCTACAAGTTCAACGACAAACCTTGATATTGCCTCGTAATATTTTTTTTCTAATTCTTATAAAGGACACCAAAGCCGGATATACCTAATCATACCAGTATCGATAGCGGGAAGAACCATTACTGCTAGACCAGAAGTAACGATACATGATGATTATTTTAGTTCTAACGCTTATGTACGTAAGAACAGCTTCAAAATTTCCGATTAAAAACTTACTCTGGAAATAGTTGTCCATGTGTTTTTCCAATGAAAGAATTGCATATTTATAAAGATATGTTATTAAATACTGCCTATAGTTTACGCGAGTAGTACACATTTAAATAAAACACTTTAACGGTTTAAAACACGATATATTAGTTAAACTTATTTGGAAATTATTTTTAGCTAATATATCGCGTTTTAAACCGTTAAAGTGTTTTATTTAAAAGATATGTTATATCGACTTATATAAGAATTTCATATAGCCTAATAAAGTTCCGAATTTATTAAATCCTATATAAACAAAATTTGTAGTGAATTTTATACAGCCAAAGATTATGCCATTATATTTTCGTAAGCATTACAGTGAATTTGCGATTTACTATCTTCTAGCTGTCTATCTGTCTTCTAGTTAGTATTGTGTTCAAACAACTGTTTTATTAAATCTATAAAACGAGCTCTTATTTCTCCCTTCGGGTTAATAACGTCTCCTTATCTTTTACTAAAGAAATCTTATTCGTAATTCGTTATCTAAGTTGAAAGGCATATTGTTATTAGCATTATTCCTGCCAAATATAATTTTCTACCTATTTTTGTCGAACCATATTTTGAGTCAATTATTTATTATACGATTTCTCTTTGTGTATTTCGTTACGTCATTTTGTCTATAAATAAAATTGTAATATTATCGGTACTTCTATCTTCCCTAAATGTGTTTTTTTGTTTATGTTAGAGGAGGACAGACGGGCACGGAGTTCACTTGAGTATTCACAGAACGCTTAGTGGTACCTATATAAACTTCTCCACAAGTGCACGGGCTACGGTATACTCCTGAGGATGATAATCCTTTTGTCCTTTGCATATACCAAGTAATTTTCAATTTCCTTTGTTGGTTTAAAGATTGTTGTAATATTGTATTTACTCAGAACTCCACGTCCACACGTGATGGCGAAACGTCGAGAACCTCTTCTCGCTCACATCGGCCGACCAGCCCGAAAGACAATGATATGCTGAAATCCAACATGTTTTAAAAAAATTGAAACATGTGGAGCCTGGAGGGGATTAAACCCACGACCCGTTGACTATTCGCCAGTGGTTTATAAACATGGAATTCGAATAATCGTCCAATAGCTGTTTCTGTCTATTTCATTTGTCCTTTTTTGTCTTCTCCCTTCGTTTTTCATGTGACTTGGGATAGACATATCTGTGTCTAATTTACTAATCGATTTTACTTTGGATCAGACTACAATTATTCAAATAGCGACACCTTCAGTTATGAAAGCGGTCCTAATATATATATAAATATATATCTAATTTCTTTGTTCAATTAAAGTTCAGATTAGATTCAATTTGTTATAATAAATAACGTCGTATTTTGACTAATTTACTTTTAATTATGTCTACAAGTTCATAAGGAACGTTGGTAACCGCGAGGCATTTTGATAAGGTCGTGAAGGCAGAATAAAAGCACGTCAAATACATTTGATGTCAAGTTGGAACATCACAATAGCTCGGTGGGGCTTTCAATGCCACAACAAGTTATGCTTATCAAAAGCAGTGATAATACATTTATAATGGAGTACTAAATGAAGAATGGCGCTTGGAGTGAATCACATAAATTTGTACCTTTACGTATGTAGTATACTGTTTTAAGTGTACCAAAAATTGTGAATTTAAAAATAAACAAAATGAATTGTACTCGTATTTAGACTTTCTATACATATTTTATAATGGAAATAAAACTAATTGAATTAATTAAAACTAAGTTAGTGTCAATATTCACCATTCCGTGAATAACTCATAGTTATTTTTTATTATTCAGAATAGTTATAGATGATTAAGTAGAAAAAACAATAAAAATCAAATTTTACGATATTGGGAAAATAACTGAATGTAAACTGTTGTTCAATTCTTGTTCGGGTTTATGTTCAGTGTTCACACAGAATGTTAGAACTGTTAAAGCTTACTCTATTGCTATCAAAATCTATGAATATAGATGCATTTAGACGTATAGTTGGTGGACGTGATGCTGAACTCGGGGAGTTCCCTTATGTTGGCAGATGGGCAAAGGTCCATGTTGAAAATAATCAAAAAACATTCGCTCAGCATTGCACGTGCAGTTTCTTGTCTCCTACGTGGGCTATATCAGCAGCGCACTGCATCGACGAAGAAGCACCCGGAGATAGCGTAATTATGTACGGATACATTGTACGCGGTCAGAAACAAAATTATACGGAAGTCGTTCAGATGTTTAAGCACCCAGCTTATGTATTGGCCGTAACGTACGACTTGGTAAGACACGACATTGGCCTATTAAAAACACGTCACGTTGAATTGTCCGGTTATGGAGTTCTCAGTGCTGTGGATTACACGACAATGATCGGTCACGAAGTCTTCTTACCAGGGTATGGAAACACGAACGGGACGGATGTAGTAAATGACGCTACAACTGTGAGTAAACCTCTCCAAGTGTTCAAAGGTATGATAAGTCAATGTAAAGAGGACGATGGACATCTATTCTCGATGATATGTGTGGTGGCGTCATGTAACCATTTATCGTCGGTTTGTGGGGGTGATTCTGGTGGACCGGTGATACACGCTTCAGGAATTGTTGGTGTAAATTCATTAAGTATTGTCGATTGTAACAGTTATAAAGAATTTAAAAATATACACATACATGACCTAGCTAAAGGGTCTTCTAGTATAGTCCAAGCGGCCAGTTCCGTAGTTGATTGGGTGTCGAAGGTAGTTAGAAGTAATCCCTAAAGATTATGTTTGCTTCAACGATGTCAAGGGCTGTATAAAACATATAAGGGATGTATAAACTATATAGTTCTAAAATATTATAAGGGCCAATCACGTTTAGAATTGGCTAATTTTCATTATTTTAATTGAAATGACCAAATAAAAATGATTAGCAACAACTATCCAGTCTGTCAGACTATATAGTATTTTTTTTTTAAATTCTAAGTCGAGGGAGTGAACAAACATTAGTAAAAACAATGCTACCCGATTTACAAAACATAATTCAGCTTTTATTTTATTTAGAGCCAATTGATATTTTTATTGTATTTGTTAACACATAAAATTTTAACAGCATTGAAAAATAAAATTTTTACGAGTAATAAATAAGATTTAAATTTCTTCCTTCTTTATTGCGACACGGAATGTTGAAACAATTACATATTTTCATATTTATATGTAATTTTCTGAGTATTAAAGCGTTACGACGTATAGTCGGTGGACGTGATGTTGAACTTGGCGATTTCCCTTACGTCGGCAGATGGACTAGACTCGTTATCTACAATGAGAAAGAATTCTGGCAGCAACATTGCACGTGCAGTTTTCTCTCATCAAGCTGGGCTATATCTGCGGGGCATTGCCTATTTGACGAAGCTCTGGATACCAGCATAATTATGTACGGAAATGTTGTGCATGATCAAAGTCCAAATCACACGAAAATTATTCAGACTTTTGGACACCCAGCTCATGAAATATTCAACGAACTATTGACCAGATTCGACATTGCCCTCATAAAAACACATCCCGTAGATTTGACCGTGTATGGAACTCTTAGCGCTGTGGATTACACTTCGTTGGTGGGTATAAGTTTCTATGTACCACACTACAGTACGTACATACCTATTAATGTAAATAAAACCCTTCAAGTTTTCAAGGGATGTAAGCCGGTGTGATTTGCTTCGTTCACTCCATTTATTTTTGTGTCGCCTCGTCATGTAAATATGTATGATAATTTGTGGAGGTGATTCGGGTGGTCCAGTAATACACGCATCGGGTATTGTTGGTGTAAATTCAATGGGTATGGTCGTTTGTGCAACTTATCGAAATTATAAACAAATACACAAACATATCTTAGCAAAACGGTCTTCTAGTATAGTCCAAGCGGTCAGTCCCGTAGTTGATTGGGTCTCGAGAACCATCGCTAGTAACGCATAAATTACTTTTGAATAAAGTTAGTTTAAATTATTTCCCATACATGCCTATTAACAGTTACTACCGAAGATTCGTAACGAATATTAGGTACTAACAGTTATATACGTTGCTAATTAGTTTGATATGCTTAAATGAGCCTCGTATTTAAATAAATAACGAAATTGTTTCCATTCCCTGTACGTGGGGTAAAGGTAAAGGGCAGATAAATTTAAGCCTATTTCAATAAATGATCGACAGACTTCTGTCCCCTGTCCAACCAGAACTATATTCCGTTTCTCCGGGACTCCCCTCGTGAGTTACGCAACTCTGGGAAAATCGTTAAACCATTGACCAACGGAGGCGTCCTTTATTTAGTATTATTAAAAAAGTAAATGTCTTCTATCAAATAAAAAAGGAAATGTTTATTCATACTATATTTATAATCTATACGGTAAATACTGTCTATAGTTTACGCGAGTAGTACACATTTAAACAAAACGCTTTAACGGTTTAAAACGCGATATATTAGTTAAACTTATTTGAAAATGATTTTTAACTTCGGCCCGACGTTCCGGATGCTTTGCAGCAGCCGTGGTCACGGGGAGACCCCGGCTGCTGCAGGTAACTAATATATCGCGTTTTAAACCGTTAAAGTGTTTTATTTAAATCTACACGGTAGTTTCACTGTTATAACATAGTAAAGATTGTATTTGCTCTATTATAATAAAAAGACATTTTTTAAGTTATCCCTATTGGGGCCTTATTAGTTGAGATTTGCCAATTTTCCCATATACGATTCCTTTTATATGTAGAGAAAACTATTGAGTCTATTTACACATTTCACATGTTTGATTTTATTTACAGAAGGTAGCTTGAATATTTGGAGATTATCAGTAAAGAACTGTATGTCTTTTAGTTCACACTGCAAGAATGTAGTTGACTTAATAACTTAAAATTATATTGATATAAATCAATAAGGTTTGTGGAATATATTAAAATAATTATCTAATCTTTTTCAAATCTATGTCTCTATCTATATTACAAAACAATAACTATAACAATAAACAGAAAAAAATTGTAAAAATATTTTTTTTCGCTCTACATATTTTCCTGTTCCCTGTATCACCGTTTGACGTTGAGCAGCTTTTTCAATAATGAACAAAAGGAGCTCCTTTCAAAAAGAAGTACAAGGTAATACTCAGAGCAAATTTCTGTATATATGAACTAGAATTTTTAAATGTCGACATGCGAAGAAATTATATTTTTAACTGTTTACATTTCCAATACAGTGTTATTTTCAAGTAAATTTTGACACTTATGCTTTTTAAGGACCGAATCAGTCTCTCCTAATACTAAGTACGACGAAACAGGTGGCGCTAGCGTAGCAGATTTGTTTTTGACGTTAGGAACACACAACTTTCTGTCATCGGGCTACAGTAAAATTAAATTTAAAATAATTTACAATTTGTAACATATTTGTAAATAGGTTAACTTTTATATTTCCCATTTTTAACCATTAAGTGTTTTATTCAAACAATTGCTATAGAACAAGAGATACGATTAAAAAGTAATAAAGAATAAATAATGCTAATATTATAGTTTCTAATTACTTCTTTTTGTTTATCAATACTAAACAATATCATGTAGAGTTTTATAAACATAGGAAACAAATCAATATAATATTGACGTACATCAAAAACTTCTGTAGTGAGTAGAATAATATATTGATATTTCATTTTCAGTGCCTGTAGTTGGTAGCAATGTATAATATACGTCTGAAAAATGTAGATAACGCTTTATAAAGTGTATTAGGTGCCGAACTTGAATTATAAGTAACGTGGCCCCATCACAGAGCCCAAATTCATAAATCAATAAGGACTGGAAATGGATTCACAAAATCGTTATAAACTCAACTCGTATAAGACGTGGTCTATTTTCTTATATATATGTGTGTTTAATCTTTAAACGGATTTTGCTTTAAAATCGATATCACCCTAATGACTGCAAAAACGTACGTATATCACATTGTAGTTAAAATAAGTTACGCACTACATATATAGCAATAGCATTTTATTTACAGATATAACAAAATCTACATTTTGTCCTATATAGCAAGAATCATCAGCATCTTACTGTATGCCCGTTTGCTTACATTTTAATATAGGAACCCCCAAACAGAATACAGAGTTTTTGGAGCTCCTATAATACTCAGTCCCTCCCGTTACTCATCGTTGTGACTAGTCGACCGACAAGATTCAATCTACTGTTAACTGTCTACATCTTTGTTTCTTTTGAAAGTTTAGTCGATAGAAAACATTTCAATGGCGTCTACGGCATTTTATTTCTCGTCGGGATTGTTTGGCGAAATGGTTTTTTGGAAAACGTTCGAGTGTCTCTGCTTCTTTTATTATTTTTTACCTAAATTTACCTGTCTCATAATTTAAGTGTTAAATGAAACGCAAATAATATATGTATTTCTGTTTTTTGATATAAAAAAAAGAAATACGATTATTTAAATAAAACAGTTTAACGTTTTAAAACGCGTTATATTTTAGTTAAACTTTTTTGAAAATTCTTTTTATTTTTAGCTTCGGCGCGGCCTTTCGGATGCTTTACAGCAGTCGTGATAATTTTCAAACAAGTTTAACTAAAATATACCGCGTTTTAAATTGTTACAATGTTTTATATAAATGTGTACTACTCGCGTAAACTACAGACAGTATTTAAATACGATTATTCCTTTTCATTTTACCTCAGAATACGGAACCGATCTATTAAACACTTCTATTTTTGTTTTTAGCAGCTTTCAACTAAAGATGGAATGTACCTAAATATACCAATCCTTTAACATGTAAATAAGACGCGCTGTCGGATCATAATGGTTTTGGACGTTCGAAACTCCACAGGCTAAAATCGAAATAGTTACGGCTTTTTCACCTCGGTGGCTGGTACCTGACGGAATACTCAAATGGGGTGTCCATACTTCAACCAACCGGGGTTTTATGTAGGTTGTTGTTGTAACAAATATAAGGATTCTAAGTGACATAACAACGTAAGAGAAATACGATACACTGATTCAGTATGTATTGTCAATTACAATGAAGATCACAATCCACAAGGGTATCTACTTTTGGCTGAGATGCGCTTGCGTATACTGCGCATACTATCACTGCACAAAAATCTTCTTAATTCTGCACCAGGATTTGACATAATTATGACAGGGTTGGCATTCTAAGCTATATGTTAGTCCTAAGGCAATAGCGGAAATTAAATAAATAAATAATAATTAAATTTGTTATATTCACTGTTTTTCATGGTCTAGAAGTAGAATTCGTAAACCTCGATTTTATCCGTCTATTTAAGGAAATATCTGTATTTTATATTTTACTTTCAATTCCTTATATGTTACTGTGATATTTCTCTTTGTTTCCTATATCGAAGAATGGTACTTAGTAGTAGGTAATATAGCATGTTGAAAGGTTACCATAGCTACAAGTATAGCAAAGTGCGACCGCCGTAAATAACATATAATGCAGAATATAATATTATGACGTCCGTGACACCAGTTTTATGAGTCTGGAATCTTGTTGAGCTTTATGGAGGCAATATAAGCTCAAATATAGCATAAGAATATCTGGACTGGGATATTCTGAACCCGTATATCTCTTGGTTGCATAGAAACCACCAAATTTTTAATAAAAAACTTTTCCCGCCTTTTTTTCGCCCCCCCCCCCCCCCCCCCCCCCACAGCCCCCCCCCCCCCCCCCCCCCCCCCCCCCCCCCCCCCCCCCAGCAACCCCCCCCGCCGGGGGGGGGGGCCCCCCCCCCCCCCCCCCCCCCCCCCCCCCCCCCCCCCCCCCCCTCCCCCCCCCCCCCCCCCCCCCCCCCCCCCCCCCCCCCCCCCCCCCCCCCCCCCCCCCCCCCCCCCCCCCCCCCCCCCCCCCCCCCCCCCCCCCCCCCCTCCCCCAAAATCCAACTTCCACCCCCCCCCCTTTTTTTTCTTTCAACCCCCCCTCTTTTTTTTTTTTTTTTTTCCCCCCCCCCCCCCCCCCCCCCCCCCCCCCCCCCCCCCCCCACCCCCCCCAACCCCCCCCGGGGGCCCCTCCCCCCCCCCCCCCCCCCCCCCCCCCCCCCCCCCCCCCCCCCCCCCCCCCCCCCCCCCCCCCCCCCCCCCCCCCCCCCCCCCCCCCCCCCCCCCCCCCCCCCCCCCCCCCCCCCCCCCCCCCCCCCCCCCCCCCCCCCCCCCCCCCCCCCCCCCCCCCCCCCCCCCCCCCCCCCCCCCCCCCCCCCCCCCCCCCCCCCCCGCCCCCCCCCCCCCCCCCCCCCCCCCCCCCCCCCCCCCCCCCCCCCCCCCCCCCCCCCCCCCCCCCCCCCCCCCCCCCCCCCCCCCCCCAACCCCCAAAAAAAACCCCCCCCCCCCCCCCCCCCCCCCCCCCCCCCCCCCCCCCCCCCCCCCCCCCCCCCCCCCCCCCCCCCCCCCCCCCCCCCCCCCCCCCCCCCCCCCCCCCCCCCCCCCCCCCCCCCCCCCCCCCCCCCCCCCCCCCCCCCCAACCCCCCCGCCCGCCCCCGCCCCCCCCCCCCCCCCCCCCCCCCCCCCCCCCCCCCCCCCCCCCCCCCCCCCCCCCCCCCCCCCCCCCCCCCCCCCCCCCCCCCCCCCCAAAAAACCCCCCCCACCCCCCCCCCCCCCCCCCCCCCCCCCCCCCCCCCCCCCCCCCCCCCCCCCCCCCCCCCCCCCCCCCCCCCCCCCCCCCCCCCCCCCCAC